AACGAATTTAACAAACATTTCAAATTTTTTTAACAGTACTGTTATAATTTCAATCATACAATCAAAACTATTCACAATCGTTATAAAGTGTAAATATTACTGCAAGTATATAAAACTGTAGTACGTTAATATGTATAATAAATTGTATTTCACATTGTGTTTGTTAAAAAAATTTGAAATGTTTGTTGAAATTCGTTGTCCAATCAGGGTTGAGTGTTTTTGAGTTGTTGAACGACTTCCGCTTTTTGCACAGCAAACCGGGCACGCGGATATATTTTGGCCGAATTTTGTTATTCCCTCACGGATTTCAGAGCGAATTTAAGCTCTTTGATTAAAGCATCGTTGTTTTGAGAGTTATACGGTATCATTCTTGCAGTGGATATCGATTAATCGTGAAAGAAATGCATTAAAAGCGAAAAATCGAGGATAGTTTCGTGTGACATATGCCAAGTCTGGGCTATTTTGGTCTCAATGTCTCCCAACCTCGTCCCCAGGGTCTTCCTCGTGGTGGCGCGTGAGCTGAGGAAGACCCTGGTAAAATACGATGAAATCTCCAAGATTCTTGGAGATTTATCGCATGCGCAGTAACGACAACGTTATGTTGCTGACTACAATTAGCGCTGGCGCTTACGATTTTCTTGCTTAAAAATATACATGTTTTGTTGAGTGTTTATGTATTTATTCTCAACGTTTTAACAAATTTTACGAAAAATACTTCAGATATAAGCTGTGAACACACATGTACACAAAACTATGCAACATTCATCATCATATTGTATCAATTTGTCGGAGTATGGCGCTCATATTTGTGACATCGTTTTGTTCGCTTTGGCAACCCTCGTATATATCAGATGCTATTCGGCTTCAAATGCGACTGAATAAACACTGATAGTGTTGCCTGGAATATGAAATGATATTGATTGATTGTTCTGTATAATATATATATATATATATATTATATTATATTATATTATATTATTATTATATTATTATATTATATTATATATATATATATATATATATATATATATATATATATATATATATATATATATATATATATATATATATATATATATATATATATATACAGGGGGTGTATCAAAATAAACGCAATTCATCTTTTGTGCTTAATAGAGGGTCCTGAAGGGGGGGAGTCCCAATCCCATTTCCCACCTGAAATTTTGGCAAAATCCCAGTCCCAGTTGGATTTTTATTAGAAATCCCAGTCCCAGTTATTGAAATCCCAGTCAATAAAAAACCCTTTATTTATCGGTAGAATAAACAGTTTTAAGACCTTTTAAGCAAGTGGCGGACACTTTATGAAATATTAGGGGGGGCTCGTGCCGAAGGCACGGAAAATTTTTAAATTTGAATCCCGGAAATGGCATTTGCAGCATTCTGAGACACGCATAATCAGAAAACTCAGAATTCCGGGCGCCAGAGTATGCCTGTTCGCAGGTAGTGCTGTGAATAATATAATTAACAACAAAAATCATGACCAAAGACACCAAAAACGGATCAAAATTGTATTTTAAAATACTTAAAACGTAGAAAAATTGGGAATCGACTCGCATCACCTCAATCCCATTCCCATTTTTGAGGACTTCATTTCCCATTCCCAGTGGCCAAATCCCAGTCCCAGCAACCCAAATCCCATTTTCCCAGTCTAAAAATAGATCAATCCCAGTTCCCATTTTACCCCTTCAGGACCCTCAATTAAGATAATGATATAGTTTAATGATAAACCTCATTAAGCTTCATTATCTATTGTTTGAATTGCATTCGACGTGACCGAAATTCGACGTATAAAACGGGCCTATGGGGGACTTGTTTGATGAACTTTGTCTTTAAATCCAATTTTTGACAAAAACAATTCCATATGAAGACATAAACAAACCGGCAAAAGGCAGCAACCTTAATCTAAATCACAGCTTAATATGCAATAGTCCCAGCGACTACAATCTCGAAACCAGAGCCCGCAATCCTCTGTGGAGAAAGTCGGGCTCTGATTGGTTGTTTTTCAACATCCTCGTCCCCAGGCCCAAGCGGCCCTCAAAGTTTTTCAAGTGCTAATTATCATTCAAACTTTGAGCCGTATTTAGTTATTCGGATTTCAAACATCTTTAAAATTAATATAAAGTTTATTTCTCTTTGTGTATTATGTTTAAACATATCAATGAAACACACAGCATAATTTTAATAAACTTATTAATCTTACCTAGCTTCTCATATGAAACCAATAGACTATTCTATTTCTGATATTGATATGCTATAAATAACAAAATTAGAATAACAACAGTGCAGCATTACCATATTAGGTCATGATAAGCCGTTGCCTATAATATTTAAAATAACACAACAATCCATGATTTACCGTAATTAAACAAGTTAAAATAAATCACTACCAGTATCGTACAACAATTCAAAATCATGGCAAGTGTTCTTTGAAGAATTAAAGTCAAAAAATTAAAGTTAAACAACTGCATAATTCATGTTTGACGGCAGTAATGTCTATTTATAAATGTCGAGCGGAGTACTGGATCCAAATGTACTGATTTTCGTGCAAAAGTCGCCGGTGTTTCCCAGAGCTTCAGCAAGCCTCCACAGAGGATTGCGGGCTCTGGTTTCGAGATTGCAGCGACTAACGCTCAATAGAGCGTCTTGTTTGTAACAAAATTAGGTAACAACCGGAAATTGGGTTATATTATTAACCAGTTTATTGGTTGTTTGACCAAATAATATTGGTCGAAAGAAAATGCATGCATCTCTTAAACCAATTCAAATTGGTTATTTTAACCAATCCGTTTTTACAGTATTCCCGCGCATGGTGAGCGACTGGAAACGAGGTACTAATAAACAAGGGTAGATTTTGTGCTCGACCAATCAGCGCATTTGTTTACATTTTCGCTCTCAGCTAATCATAATGCAGGAAACGTGAAATTTACACCAAGGCGAGCTAGAAAATATTGCCGTTTTCTCGGGCTTCCGTGAGATTCAGTTTTAACTTTTTAAATTTAAATTGCTATATTTTCTCTGCTTTACGTTTTCGTTGGAAAACTCTTTTTTGCTCTTGTTGAGAATCATTTTGGTCAATGTGTTATTTCATAACCTAGAAGATAACGCGTTTAGAGAGTCTGATTTTCTGCAAAATCGGTCGGACAATATTTTTGTATTGATTTCCCGTATGATCGCGAGCGTGCGACTATATATTTTTTTAAATCAAGCTCTATAAACGCTTTATCGTCTAGGTTTTGATATAAAACATTGACCAAAACAATTTGCAACAAGAGCGAAAAAGAGTTTTCCAACAAAAACTTAAAAGCAGAGAAAATATAGCAATTTTTAGTTTTATTGCAGTCAAATTAGATTACTCAAATTTGTATACGATTTGTACACGCGACATAGGGAAAAATTTCAAACATGGATATTTTCAGTTCTAGGTCGAAAGTTAAAAATGCCCAGGGCAAAGTTTTAGATTTTAATGTGCTGCATCATAATCTTTTGGTTTTAAATTAAAAAAGATAAAATTCAATCTCACGCGGAAGCCCGAGAAGACGGCAATATTTTCTAGCTCGCCTTGTTAATTTCTCGTTTCCTGCATTATGATTTGCTGAGAGTGAAAATGTAAACAAATACGCTGATTGGTCGAGCACGAAATCTGCCCTTGTTGGTACTATTGAATGCTATAATTCAATCGTATTTTATGCATGTCATATACATGGGAAAATGAAAGTGCATGGTTATATGTTCAAAGCTTGTAAGACTTGTAAGTCATGATTAAATTTCTACACTGTCACATACTTTGATCAAAGCGTACATTGATGAAACCATATTTGATCAACTGAAACTTTGATGATATCTATATTTGATCAATTGAAACTTTGATGATATCTATATTTGATCAACTGAAACTTTGATGATATCTATATTTGATCAACTGAAACTTTGATGATATAAGAAGCCATCCTAACCTGTTATTATTATTTCACATCTCTTTACATGGTAACTAATCAACCTAACTATTACTAAATATATTATAAGGGTTGCTTTTCATTAGGCCGTGTGTCAGTAAATATAAAAGTTATTTACAATATTAAAAAATAAACAAAACACAAAGAGAAAAAAAAATAAGAAAAATAAAGTTACATTCACACTACTTTATTCCTTTCATTCCAAATTCTTATCTTCCAAATATGGAAATCCTATACTTCTCATTTCGTACAAGAAACACAAATAAATCTCGCATCTCAGCACAGTACAGTGCTAAAAAGCGCGGGAACTGGAAGCGAACCGTGCATAATTTATGCAAATTATCGCACCACAATAATAACCGTAGGAGACCTTGGTGAGAAATACTCTATATGCCTTGAAAACGCAAAAAAATAAAAAGGGATTTGACCATATGATTATCCTCTGTGGTTAGCTAATTTCATTTACATCTTCTCTTAAATGTTTAACTATAACTATGACTGTTATCAAATTAAATATTACGCAGCGTTGGCAACGTCAATGAAGACGTGATTATCATATGATTTTGATTATTCAGCTCACTCCCCATCGAGGCCTATCAGTGACCGATTACATCAAGTATTACGATTACTTATATTACCTACCAAGCTTAGACTGCTTATTTTTATAACAATTGTGATATTAGTTTCCTAACTATGTTTATCCTAACCCACCCTGACAACTTTCCCTGTGGGAGGGAAACGGAGCAGCCGAAGAAAACCCTCGACTTTCGGCAGACCGTTGACTGACTCATTTCACATGAGTCCACTGTCCACACATGAGCCCATATAGCGAGACTCCAACCCACGATCTCAGAGGAGGTAGGCGACTGCGCCATCGAAGCCCCTTCCGAACGTAATCAAAAACAATAAACGTGATCATAAACAGTAGAATTCTTACTCTAAGACAAAGGCAACTATAAATTGCACTCCCTTGAACATTCTAGTACGCCGTAGTTGTTCAAATTGCTACGTTATTTACATAATTTTCACGGCTCATAACCGCCACGGCAACAGTTACTAGCAAAAAAACGTTCGAAGTCGTGTCGTGTGTTTTATGGTGAATTCACCGACTATTGCTATACTTAAAGGTTTTTGTAAAGAAAGGTAAGTACTTCAAATTATGTTTGTCACGCATACAAAAATATAAGTGGAACAGTAATTTTCGGTTAGCGTATAGTGTTGCCGTTGGCGTTGCTTGTCGGCTGCCAAACTCTCCGCTATTAATATGACATACAAGACTGGGCAAGGCCGAATCATGTTGACAGAACACGTTCTAATGTGTTGTTTATAAAATTAAGAATTTACTAAACAACGCTGGCGTATACTGTGAGCTAAAAATCGCCTAATTTTCTACTAGGCGGAACTGATCCGCGGTGTTTTGTATAATGTTTTATATAGGTAAGACAAGAACTAACACGCTCCAGATAATATACAGGTATCTAAAAAACGTTTTACTTCGTATAATAGTCATACATGCATGAACACCGCAGTCGAATCCCGCTTTATATTTGCGTTTTTAAGGTATATATATTTCATTATTTCTCAGACATATATCTCTGAAAAATATTATTGTATTAATTATTGCATAAATTATGCGTTGATCCAGGTTCCGGTTCCTGTATCGTTGTGTCGTCTTTTAGTGGTAGCCCAGTACAGTATGTTCTCAGCCAAAATTCATGCCTTTGCCCAAAAAGGGCAAGCGGTGTGCCTTTACTTCACACCTCGAAGTACGCCAGTATCACAACGTCATCGTACACGGATCACACAAACTTGCCATCTGCTTATAAAAATATTTCACTGCATCAAAAAACCTAACATTTTTTAAAAATTCATATTTTATTTAACTAAAAAATTTTATTGCGGATTTGAACTAACTCATTTGAACAGAAAACGATACCTAGGTTTTTGTAAACGACAGATGGTGTTTTTGCACAATGTTGAGTTTATAAAACGGACGGAAATTGTAAATTAACAGCTCAGCCCCTGCAATAGGTATGATAAAACTTCGTGTGGGTACTTCGACAAAGACGGATAGACAATTTAACTTATTCACATATAATACAATATGCTGATATTTAAACGGGAAATGAAATTTTTCCATGCATCCCACCGTCTGAACGTTCAACACGAAGATCTTAAATTACTGATATATTATACAGAAGTTGAATACCTTTTGCATTTATTAGTGATTCATATATGGCCTGAACATTTTTTGTAGGCTATATAGGCATTTTTATATGGAAGTGAAGATGTAGCTATTCTCTTTTATGCCATTGTTGAACTGATAAAGGAAGGAATAAGGACATGCATCTCTGCACTATACGTATAGGTTTCCCTGCATGAATATAGCCATTATAGGAGCTCACTAATATTAAAAGGAATGGGTTAGCATGTCTGCTGTTGGTAAATTTGCAGGTATATATATTGGTATATGTTGGTTATTTAGGCAACCCGTCAAGACACGACATGCCTTTCAATAAATAAATAAATAAAACAAGCTTTGTCATGCATGTGGGCCATGCAACTTGTATTTCATATTTTCATGATCTTGTGATTTTATGGAAATTGATTGCATAAAACACGAACCTAGTCCATAATTCCATGGGAGACTATGCTTTGGCGGGATAACAACGATGCATGCTGGTCTTGTAAATTCAACCAGATGTGATAATGTAAATATTAGTCCATCTTCACAATGAACTATTCAATGTATGCGACTATATTTGGCTTTTCGCAATAAATTGGCCGCAACATATTGTTTTGAGCAAACAGAATATTGGCGGACAATCAGACAGTGTTTATAAGGAAATGAATGTGTGCACAGCTAAAACAGGAATTTTATTAAAAGTTAAATGTATTTAACGAGGGGCGATTTTTACTTCTGGCACTGAATGTACATTTATAGCAAAACTGACCCCATTAATTCGCATGGAATTTGTTTTCAAATTCCTTACTATTGAAAAAGTATGGATCTTAGTTGAAAATATTATGGAAAACCAATTTTCATAAACATAAGGTTTGTGCTTTCTGGAATGGTTAACATCCGACGTACCTTGTTTTTTAAACACTCCCAAATTAATTTGGACTTCGTATAATTATATATTTTCAAATCTTTCCTGTAAATAGACTTCACAGAAATGATAACAAGGTGCGCGACAGGTGTTTATACAAAGCTTTTAAGGATGATTGTTCTCATTTAGTGACTTAGTGTGGTTTTACTCGGCTTGTTGACGTCGTACTCTACTAAAGCCCTGATGAAACGAGGATGAGAGTTGATGAGAGTTGACAAAGCCGGCGTTTGCATACCTTACTTGTATTAAAATTCGCGCAGTACTAGAATTCGCGCAGCGCTGGGTGCGCGATTTTAGTACTGCGCGAAATATGATCCGCGTGAAAAGCTTTTGTGGTGTAACATGAGACACTCATTGTTAGTTATGCAAATCAGTTGAGTTATTAACTGATTTGCATTACTATTTGCATTATGTTGTTGTATTAGGTAAATGAGAACCATACAATAAATTTTTCAGTTCTTGTTGGTATTTTGAACTCACGCTTTATTAATTGTTATCATGAATTTTGCTTACATTACATAATTTTGAAGCCATTTTTGAGGTCACCTAATCGCTTTTTGATTAAGTTTTAATTACTTGCGCGAATTTAAAGCTGAACGAAAATGAGTACGACGCGAATTTTAACAAGTAAGGTATGAAATTTTGTGGAAATCGAATATGTCGTGCATGAAACTGAGAAGTCTTTGAAAGTCTTATAAAAGTTATATACTGTAGGTTCGGACTTTTCAGCCTTACCTCGCGACAGATGATGAGGAGGCAGGGCGTAGCCTGCCCCAAACGAGTGGTCGGGGGATCTAATCGTCTCATACAGAACAACTAGGGGTCTGGCCGGAACATTTTTCTATTTTTAGGGTCTGCGAAACGCTACTTCATCATCATCACGTTTTATGATAATCTGAAAGCCACAGATTTGGTATATTTTATGTCACATAGTGAAAGCATCACGAGGTTGATACGGCGGGGGGGGGGGGGATCCGCACATAACCCCCATTCCGCCCTCCCCCGTGGCTACGCCTCTGGGTACGCCTCTGGGAGGAGGAGAAGCATAATTATATGATTTAACCAAGATAGCATTGTTTTCGCATTGCTTGCTCGCATAAGATTTTACTAAACTGGAGAATGAGTAATATAATATTATGCATGTATAGTACTAATGAGGATTGATTAAGCCGCTTCACGCATCCATCTTTGGCATTTTAATTCAAAGACTGAAAACGTTAGTGTCACGATTTCTCTTGGAACATTTACACAAACTGTAACAAAATTGGCCTCGAGCTTTAGCAATGTCACCAACGCACGCCGAAATAAAATAGATTTCAAATTAACATAAACTGTTAATTTATACTAGGGACGTGATACGATACGTTGCGTGTAGGTAGTATATGCGTTATATATATGCTCATTGCATCTCGGACAGTTAATTAAAAGTAACTCGTCAATCGTTCATCTGATTATTATAAAATTTCGGTGACAAATTTAATTGAAATAAACTGATAAACTTTGGCCTGAAGCAACGTCATAATTATTTTATGGGTGATAACCGTTTCATCGGTTTCAATGACATGACAAATACACGGTAATATTTTATAGTAAGAATTAAACTTACGAGGCATATTATATTCAACTGTATACCATCACAATAACGTACTAATGATATAGTGGGTGAATAATTAGCCTTTCTCACGATGACGAATATCCGCCATTTTTGGGTGGCATCTAATTATTCTCGTTAACCAATGCAGACAATTAAAACAATGTGAAAAGCGATTTTTCAAAATAAACTAACCATTCACAAAGCAAATTTACCATCATTCGTCCAAAAAATTATAAAACGTCGCTGTTATGTGGACTTATCTCTCAGACTTCGGCTGAAATGCCACCCAAAAATGGTAATTAGGAACAGAAATTTTTGCGGCTTATTTTTTCGATTCGACCGCAAAAAAAATTCAAACTGCAAAGTATATGACACTTTTGAATGAGTATTTCATTTTTTCGTAAATAAGCAAATGCATTTAACCTGAGATCATACACGAATGATGTGGCATCATGGTCATTGAATTTTATATTTTCATTCTTTCAAGTATTTCGCGTGCAGCATTATTTACTCATGTTGCCTGCTGGTCTTCCATTCGTTTGATATATAATTACAAAGATATAAAACGTTTACTATAATATCTCATTCGGCATGATATTTAAATGACGTGAATAAAATGCATTCAGAATAAAAGCTGCTTTATCAGTTATGCCTCAGAGCACTAATGTGCTTGTGACATTTTGCAACTATTGTTTCTTACATTTCTTTATGTTTATATTCAATTAGCGTAGTCTTAGCGTTGTGTTTGTCATGCAGTGAAAGATTAGCGCTAAAATGAATATTTAGCTTTTTACTACCAGTTATTATGTTTCTCTGATAATCATGGCTATTTATTACATTGTCGGGTTTAAATCAATATTTACCAAACCATAGGACAGGGTTAATGTGTTAGTTAACATTAAAAGCAATGGGTGCAATATCATTCAGTAATATAAATGTATATTGAAAGTCTTGGTATTTGATGATAGATTTCTGTGATTCGTTCTCTATTTCAATAATTTGTTATCTTTTATTGTCATACATAAAGGCAACCAATCACAAACCCGAGGTTATTAATTCCTTTATTTCAAAGGCATTTGCACTTTTCCATCATTAAATGATTTTGTGGCGCGTGCTCTATTTGGTATTGTCGAGCTACTATGGTTCGGGTGATTCGATCTGATTAGGTCACGGCGTCCCTAATCCGTTTTCGCAAACCCTCATATTTGGTTATTTCGAAAACGCATACAAGCATCTGCATGCATGCGTCCACAGCGCTTTATCAGCGGTCGTTTTCTACCGTCCACGCTATATAGCACTTAGAAAACGATACGTTTTATTATTTTCAGACTTTAGAATTATTTCTTCATTTGGTAGTCAATTATGGAAAACCTTACCAGAAAGCACTAAGATTAAGTAAGTCCTTATACGTATTGTTCGTCGAGTTTTGACCTAAAACTAAACTGATCTTCGTTGATAATAGGGATTGTAGGATAGACTATATAGAGATATATAGTGATTAAAAAATTAATTTACAATGCCAGAGAATCCAGCTAGGACAGTGCGGTAGAGCACTATATATGTTGTTTTGTAATTTGTAAAGGTATTGCTTGCAGATTAATGATCGGCACTAGCCTACATCCATTCTCTGACCAAACGATTCAGCTAAAATCACAGAACTGAGCAACACAAACAAGCACGTTCAGCGCGCATGATTATGCTCATGTATATGCATGACGTCAGCGTTGTTGAAAATCTTCGTTTTTATCCAAAACTCCTTTCAGAAGTCAACATGCACTATATACCAAAGCATATATAGTTGAAAACAGACAGTAAATATGTATTCAATATTTAGCTTACTTCTTAATTTCAGCTATACTTAATGCTTGTCTGATAACTTGAAGGTAATTATTTCCATGACAATTAGATCAATATTTACTGAACCACAGGACTGCATGGCCCACGGGTATATTTAATGTATAATATTCATTTAAACAGTACTCAATATAGACAAAAACATGCATCATTTATGTTGAACAAACCGATCACAGTTTCTATATAGCTTACTGATATGCATGCATTTTTTAATTTGTTTTTTAAAAAATCTCCTAAAAATCATGCAAGAATCTAGCTTTTCCCTAATTCATACACTGCACCATTTTAAACTTTCATATATAGGCCTAGGCTAGCTCATCCGTCAGAACATTTTTGAAGTTGACATCCTCCATTAAGTATAACATTTATTCGTTCATTATACCATGCATATGCATTCCTTGTTTGTAGTCACTTGGTTCGAGCCATACTATACCATAAACATGTTTATACGGTTTAGTTTGGCTCCAACCAAGACTACATATATAACCACTGAGATTCTCTCCAGCAATCACTCATGTTTTGAGAGAAATCCGCAGAATGCCGCTATATATCTTGAATATGCGGTCCAGTACATATATATAGGTGCTATATTCTACCGACAATGAACTGCCTTGGTTGTTGTTATTGAACTACATACAAAAAAGGAAAAACACTTGCATGTGTTTTGTCATGAAGGTGCCAGCGTACAGTGTGTAGGTAGCTTTAACTTTTATACTAAATCAAATGCCGCTTCATTTGAAACTCATGCAGTGAAAGGTAGTTCAGACATCAACCTTGGCATGATGCCACATGCAAGTTCTTGCATCATTTTTCAAGGTAAATTATAACCAAAAGAAACAAACGCCCAAGCTAAACACCTAGTATTTACAATTCGTTGTCGGTTTGCCCAACATATTACCATTAACCCAG